CATAAATAGAAGAAAAATTGTTCTGAAAACAAAAAATAAAACTAATTTTAACATAAGAAGCGGTTGCAAAAATTCTCTATGCCTTCCAAATAACATGCCATTTTATGTCTCTTGCAATCATACCATCGTATAAGTTTTTTGTCTAAAATAACATTGTCCCTTACTTTTTTCATATTATCCTTGCAAATATAAGGCTAAAATGTATGGAAGACTAAAATTTGATGACGATTTCAAAAAAACAAAAAGAAGAAACAAACAAAATTTATTGTTTCCTTAATTTAAATGCAAGACTGAAGAAAATTGTAATAATTATAATGTCTACTAGAAGTGGAGGCTAGAATAGTTTAGCATTTTAAAGCAAAAAAAAATTTTCAATAAGATTTTTTTTTTTGTTTATTTTAATTAATGATTTCAATATTATTATTTGAAATAAATTTGAAAATGATTTCCTTAACTTCCCATTTAAATTAATTCATTTCTGCCCAACTTACCAATAAAAAATGGAATGCAAAATTTACTATGTTCTCTTTGCTAAGTGGAACGACTTCCATATGGGCCACAGCTAACTAAAGACCATTCTTTCTTTTGACAATTTTTGCTTTATTTCGTTCCTTCACCGTGTGCCACAATGCTGCTCAGGTAATTGAATTAGGGCACGTTCTCAGTTAGGCTGTCTCCCAATTAAAGGAGCGTTTCATTATTCATTGTGTTCAATCTCAGGCATTTAGTTTTGTTCGTGTTGATCTTGAGGCTAACTCCCGTTGCTTGAACAAATCCTGGAACACGAATTCTTGTACTAATTTCATACTTTGGACTAATGTATTAATGTCATAATGATGTTTAAAATTTTTCTAGGAATGCCTTTATATTGTAATGCATTCCAGGCATTATATTTAACCTTGTTGAATTCTCACTCGAAATCGACGAAAATAAAGTAGTGAGACTTACATCACTGATTAAATTATTCTTCCACTTATTAGATTGGTCTATGATAATTCTAAGTGTGTTGGAGTGGTGTATACAGGTTCTTTTTTTTTGAATCCAGCCTACTCTTCTCCGACTATTTTCTCTGTTTTTGGTTCAATTCAAGTTCAAGGAGTCAAAGTACGTGTAGGAGTCAAAGTTCTGATTTCCAATATTTTCTTAGTAGATATTATAGTTAGACAATTTTCAATAGAATATGAGAACAAAAAAATAACATACCCCTAAGAAACGCATATACATATGTAGGGTAATATTCGAAAATCTTAGTCGAGCTAAGAAAAATTTAATAATTTGGTGATAATAAGAATTTTTAAAATAATGAAGTTGCCTTAAAGGACATTATTATTCTCGTGTTTTTTCCTTATTATTTTTCCTCATTACCTCCATTACTCTCATTTAAATACGAATATAACAGTTTTCTCTTTGTTATATAATTTTATTGTTGCCATTAAATTAAGAAAGATCCAAAATTATTCTCCTCTTTCCCAATTTAATTTTATCTGAACGAATATAAAAAAAAAAGAAAAAAATAACAAAAACACTATAATAAACTTTTTTTTTTTTTTGTTTGTTATTTAAAAAAATAATAATAAACAAAAACAATTACCACGATTATCTTTTACACAGATTACAGGATTTTTTCCTCGGGTGGATCTTATTTACCCACCCCCACTCTATTAAATTCACCTACACAACACCATCGCCTCTTTTTTATCTTTCAATTCAACTTAATCATTGTGTTGTATATGTATAATACCCAAAACAAGTAGCATAAAAAAGAGGGGAAGAGAAAGAGAAGAGACCAAAAAAAAAAAAACAATTTTTTTATAGTTAATTTTATTTTTAATTTTTTACCTTCATCTCTCACTTCTCTCACTTTTATACTCAATCATTCTTAAAATTGCTTGGCTCTCATTCTCAAGATTTTTCTTTTAAAAGGACAAAAAAGCGACATCTTTTATGGGCTCTAATAAGTTGGGCAAAAAAAATTTTTTTAATGACTTATTTCGTTTTAATTTAGGACATTGTAAATTTATTGTTCAAATTCTACTTTTGTTTACTTTATTGTTATTCTTACCATTATTCTCATCATTAATACTGTTATTCTCTGTTATTCTATTATGTTGTGTAACCGTGTTTTGCTTGCTTATTTTTTTTATTTTTTTTTTGTTTTTTGTGTTAGTTTAAAGTTCTTAAGTTGTGCAGGGCGTATGTAAAAGTTGGCTTTATATTTAGTGTGTGGTGTGTATGAATTAAAAATTTACATATTTTTTTTAAACAAAACTTTCACTTTAAAACGAATGAAGTAAAAATGAATTCCTGGTTAAAAAATATTGTAAGAATATAAAAATTATAAAAAAAGAGAAGAAAATAACAAAATATTGAATAAACCTCAAGGATATAATTGTGGACCAACTATACATTGTTCAAATCAATATTTTGTTTTTGTTTCTTGCTTTAATAGTAGGAGGGAAAGTAAACTAATTTACGGATGCTTTAAATTTATGATAAAGATTAGGTTCTATAGAATGCTTTTTTTGTATAGAATGCGGTTTGGTAGTAAAATTAAGCTGAAAACATAATCATTTTTAAAACTACATATTTACAAATAAATATAACATTTAAAAACCTAAATAAAGAAATTTCTTTGTTAATATATTTTTTTTTAAACCCTTTTCATTTAATATAACACACCATAATACCACATTCAAAATTTACCACATTTTAGAATTTAATTTTACCATAGTTTCAAACCATAAACAAATTGTTGTAAATTTAATTTTAATTCTTTTCATTACTAGATGGCGCTCTACAATGATACTATGCAATACATTACAATAACGAATAGAATAAAAAAAAAAATCGAAAATTGTGAATAATTCAGTTATACCGTTTTCATTCTACAATTTTCAGATAAAGGTTTAAAACTTAAATAATAGGAATTAAATGTAGGAATAAAAATTAATTTATCAACTTCAGATAAACTTCATTGTCCATTTTAATTTCAGTTTTTCACATTAAGATTTTTAAAATTTGGTGTTTACCATTATTTTTTTATTAACCGTTATAATTTAAACATAATACAAGTTAGAATTTCTTACCATTGAAATAATATTATTATCGAAATCCGGGAAATTATTTAAAAATTATTTTTAAAACACTGATTATTAATTCTAGAAAGGTATAAGAAATTTAATGTCAAAAATATTTTTAAATAAAACAAGAAATTTCAATGATTTTCGCAGTTTTAATTAATAATTCAGATTCATATATTTAAAATTAAAATTGAATGTTTTTGAAAAATTTTTTTAATAATTAAATTTTTAAATTTCAAATAATAAAATCATACTAAATTAATTTTATTATTATTAATTCCAATTTAAAATCTCTTTTTCACACAAATTTATATGTATATAAGAATTATATAATTATAATATATGTAAAATATTAATAAAATATAAGAAACTATAATTCACAACTTTTATTTCTCACTAAAATTTTTCTGCTTCGATTTTTTGTTGTTTTTTTTCATAATTATATAATTTTTAAAAGCTTTGCTAAATATTATAAGCAATTTATGAACTGTTTTTAATATTTTTAATATTTCCGTTTTCGGTCTATATTTTAACTACCTTGTAATTAGAAAACTATAATATATAGAAATCCTAAGGATCGAGTCGTTGTTCTTATATTTTATATAATTTATTTTTTGTTTTTTTGAATTATTTTAATAGATTCTAATAATGTGTTTTAAAACTCGAATTTTTGTAAAATTTATACATATTTATGTATTTAATTTACAAAATGCTTATGATATTTAATATTTAAAAAAAAATTTATAATGAATTTTTTTTAAATTATTTTTTGGTAAATTTTTTGTTCTTTGTTTTTAAAAATGATATTTTGTAATATTAGATATGATTTTTTATTGTTTTTTTTTATTGATAATTTATATTTGATGTGTCTTTGGGATTTACGATATTATTATACGATATTTTTTTTTGTATACTTAAGTATAAAAGAAGATAGAAGCAATTTATTTATGATATGAATTTCTTTTTAAAATTAAAAACAAAAATTGAAATATAATTAAAAATATAATAGATTAAGTAATTATATTAAATTAAAACTGAAATTTTAATTTTAATGAAACACTTAAGAAATTATTCATTCTCGGGAGTTTGTTAAAAAACAATTTAATTACAAAGCAATTTAAAAACCCAAAAATCTATTAAAAATTATATTTCGATTAATAAAAAATTTTTTATAAAGCCTTATATAAAAAGTATTTTTTAAATAAAGCGACATAAATTTAACTTAAATATTATTATTAGATACTTTGTCGTCAAAAAAAATTTTTTTTCATTAAAGTTAAAATTTAATATGTTATAATTCAAGAACAATCTAAAAACCAAATTTAAATATAATATTGGAATTAAAATAAAATCATTTTATAATTAAAAAAATCTGTACATGTAGGTAATCAATACGTAAATCGTTTTTCTTGTCATAACCTATTTTACATTGTCTTAAGGATCCTTAAAATTACTTTCGCTTCTACTTTCTTAACTATAGATATATATATATATATCATTTAATTTTAATCGCATTTAAAATTCATTATATATATATATATATATATATACCCTTTATCTTATATACTAAATAACTTTTAAATAAAATCATATAAACATATATTATGTATGAAATATTACGATTTGAGCAATTATAAAATTTTGAATTGAAAAAAAAAAATAATAAATTTCATACGAAACTTTTTTACTAAACAAAAGAATTTTAATACATATTCGAAAAATAAAATTAATAAATTTTGAGCAATAATATATTTATGTATATTTAAAATATTGATTCAGCCACATACAATTTAGAAGTATATATATGTTTACTTCTAAATTAGATCTTCTTAAAGCGATTTGTACCATAATTTCTTCAATTTAAGTGAAAACTAAAGCAATCTTTAAAATATACTTAAATTTACATACTAGTTGGAATAAAGTCTCAAATTATTGCTAAATATTTTAAATTAATTTGAAATTGAATTTATGTTATACATAAAAATAATATTTTATAAAATGTTTTTTAATCTTTTTTTATTTGTTATTTTTTAATGTAATAAATTGCTATCATTTTAAACTATTAAGCATTCTAATATCTAGTATATATATACATATTAATGATGTTCGTACTTAACATAATATATAATATATATGTATATATACATAGCTATGATGTATAGCAAAAAGTATAACAAAAATTTTAATTTTTATATTATAATTCGCTTTTAATTCGACATTATATTGATATCATAAACTTAAAACTATTATATTATGTACATGTACATTTATTTTTCTATTTACATATTATTATAATACATATATATTATAATTTTATAAATACACATTTTTTTTTGTATTTGTCAAATTTACATACTTATTTAGATAATTTTTAAAAATATTTTCCGCTAGATTTATAAACCTTTGGACAAAATTTCTCTGCTATAACACCATAAGCAACATTTGAACCAACAATAATTGGTGTATCACTACTATATCTATTCCATACATGTATAGCTATTGAATTTTTTGTCATTTCTAATGTACGTTCTAAATAATCACTATCAAAAAAATATTTCCAATGTGTATATGGTACAGCATAAAATGTTTCATTTTGAAAAACATTAAAATTAAAACATCTTGAACGTGTCATTAAATAAATTTGTTTTGTTTTACATATTTCATGTAATGTTCTTGTAATAACACCAGGGCCATTTTTACCCCAATCATAACCATCAAAATGTGTTTGAAAATTTCGTAAACACATATCAGCAATTTCATGTCCAAAACCATCCCAATCAAAATTTAAGACACCAGCAGCAACATGATATATTGATTCAGCACCAGCAAAATTTGGTGGAATATTTTCTAAAATTAATAATATATATATGTATAGAAATATATAAATTAAAATCTTGTTATATAATTAAATTTTTATTAATTTACTTACCTATTGTTTTCATCATAACAACATCTAAATCTAAATATGTACCACCCCAATGCCATAATGTTAAATAACGTAAAAAATCTGATACATGTGAATAAATATATTTCGATTTAAATAATTTACCATCTTTAAACCATTCATATATTGGTGTATCAGCTGCATAACTCCATAAATTAACATTTCTTAAATATACATTTGGATATGATAGTATTGATTCTAATATTGGTGTTATTGTCTGATTATTTAATATTTTTGGACTAGCAAATAATACATAAATATCTAAATTAGGATTTGTTAATGCTGCTGATTCAATTGCACATGCTTGACGTGCTTTCAGTCTAACATGATTTAATGTATCTGGTATATTACACGATGTTTCATGAAAAAATATCGTTTTACCTTTACGTGGCTTTCGTTCACTTAATAAAATATCTTCGATTTTATTTTGTACATTTATATCGGAAAAACATTTTCGTACATTTATATTGCTTCTAATATCACCATTTAAAAGTATATATACAAATAATAATCCAATTGTTAAAAATATAAATTTATAACGTAAAAAATATAAATTAAATAAATTTTTCTTTGGTGCTAAAAAAACCATCCTGCAAAAAAAAAAAAAAGAGAGAAAAAAATTTGCGTATTAATTTTTTTTATTAAATCTTAAATAAATTTAAAAGTATTCACGAATTGTCTCAATCATTGTATCAAAGTAATTAAAATATTCAAATTCTATAACTGCTATACAAAAGTGACATATTATTCTAGTAATTTAAATATTATTAAAATTTTAAGTTCAACTAAAATTGATTGAGATATGCAAAATTATGGGAAATTCCATAAATAATTAATGCCTTTTTAGGTGCCGCAGTAAAATTATTATTGAAATGTTATTTTCAGATGCCGTGATTGTTTTTTTGAAATTTATTACAAAAAAAAAGCTTTTATTTTAATTTCTCCGACACTTACTAAAAAATATTATTGTAATTTTTATTCACTTCAGGGAAAATTGATTTAGAAAATAGTATTTAATAATTAACCATAATGAAGATCTATTACAGTTTATAAATTAAAAAAAATTTTATTTTTAAACTTCTATTTCACTATAAAAAATTATTATTTCAAAGTTAAAATCTTTAAGAGATGAGAACAATACAAAATGTTTGTATTAAAATGAAGTAAAAAATGCGTTATGACGTTGTCATTACAATAAAATGTACTTGCTTTGTATAATTAAAATAGTAAAATTACTGCATTGCAAAAATTTGCAGAATTATAAAACGTGTGTGAACAGAGATATCATACAATTCTAGTGGCTTGAAATTTTATAAGTACCAGATGTCTCTGATTTCAACTAAATACAGTATTGAAATTGAAAATGTTTGATGTTATTTGAATCGACCGCAATGTCGATTATATAAACGCGGTCGGTAAAAATTGATTGACATATAGTTTTGTTTCGATTTAAAAAAACGATTATAAGTAATAAGGTATTAAATAATGTACATACATATATATTTTTAATTAAACTTCATGTAGGCAGTTTTGTAGTTCGAAAAAAGTATACGTATAAACAAATTTTATTTACAAAAGAGATTCTCATATAAAGTACTGATTTTAACTGTAGTCCGGTTCTGAAAAAATCATTCATTGCACAGAACTTTACTTTTCAACCATATTTTTGTTTTTCAATTATATATCAAACTTTGTATTCACGAATTCCAAGAGAGTTTAAAAAAAACTTATTAACGAATGACACTACGCTAATTATACTTATACCCTTATAGACATAGGTGTTAATATAAACTGACATTACACTTGCTTATTTTCATTATTCTACACACAAGTATAAAAGTTAAGATCTATAATTTTTATTTATAAAATTGTAATTTTTTTCTAATTTTTAAAGATAATATATTACAAAACAATGTACATTGGTATATAATAATTTTTTTATAATATATATTATTAATATAATATTTATACGAACTCGTATATAAATTGTTGTAAATAAGTCATTAAAATTAATGTAAAAAATTAAAATTCTAATAAATGTACCGAAGCGTGAAACATTATGAGCTTGAACAGCTCATGCACGGAATATTAAAAAAATATATAACTAATTTAAAACTAACTACATATACGTACGCATATTTGTGGAATTATATGTACATACATAATTATAACAGTTATCATATTTCATCAAATTGATGTGAATATATGTATAAATATATATACGTATAGTGCATTGTCGAAGTAGTAATTATAATTTTAATATTATATAATGATATTTTTTAATTTGTTCAATATGAAGAAACTAGAACTATATTGTATGAAAAAAAAGGAAAATTTCAAATTTAATAACAACAAATCAATATTATTAAAGGTTAAACTGCAATTTGATACTTGATACTCGGCACAACGTCAAACAACTTGTTTTAATTATAACTTTGGAAACAAGATGAGAAATTTGCATTTGTTATTAAGTTATATAATTATAATAATAATAATTTCTTGGGGCTATTAGTTTAAAAATTTTTTATACATTATTATCAATAATTATTGAAAACTGTTAATTTAAAAAAAAATTACATATAAGATTATAAAAAACGATTAATATAATTTTCTGTTGAATTATCAAATTAATTTCATATGTTGAACTATACAAAATTTTCAAAATTATTTAAAATTTTATATAACTATTTCTGTAGTCGTATAAGAACCAAGAACAATGATAAAAGTGTCGTTTTTGAACCCATAATTAAAGGAAGCAATAATTCATATGAAAACTGTTTGTTCATATGAAAAAATGGATTTTTTTTTATATTAATCAGAAATCACTTAATCTTTTTATTCAGTATTATAAAAATTTGTTCATATTATTTGTGTCCATTTTGGAATATACAAAATTATTAAAAAACATTACTTAACCTTTGAATTAATTAATTTACATATAGAATAATAAAATAAGTAGAACGAAATAACCTTAGTAGCTTCTCAAAATTATTGCGTTTTACAAAAAACAATAAACCTCCTAAATAAAAAGACAGACTATTTCTCCGCTATTCATTTATTATACACACTTTTACATAAAACAAATTAAGAATATTTTTTTTTTTTGAATTTCATTTCCAAAGAATTTTTCTTTTCCAAATCAATAAAACAAATCAAAATAAAGTTCTATAAATTATGTGATTTTAGCACTTTAATTAATTAATTCGAAACCTTGTCAGACATGTTATACAAACACAAATTATTAAAGTCAACTAAACAAATCAAAAAGTAATTAAGTATAACTAAAATAATAAAAAAAAAACAATAATCTATATTAAGTAATAAAAATTTGTATGAAATTTTTTTCTATATACATATACAAGCTATACTTCAAAGTTATAAAAGAATAATTTTATTTCATTTTATTTTTCACAATAAGGGAACAATTAACCAGCTTATATGTATATATAATCATATATTTACAGTAAAGTAGAAAATTGAATCAGAAATTTCAAAAATCACAAAAAAACTATAAAATTTGGAACACAGAATCGATTTAGAATGGAATACAATATACATAGATAATATTATATTGTTTGATTAGAACACTTGACTTCAAAATTGCAGGACTGTGATATTAATCCATAATTCAGATTATAAATTATACTTACTAATTAAGTATAACAATATAATATTTTTGTATATTATTGAAATTTCGCAATCACAGTAACTGTAATAATGAATGTAATCATTTAGTAATGATTCAGATTACATATAGATAAAAAATTGAGTAAACTAAAATTACTAAAAACTTAAACTGCTACAATTATCCGTATAATAGCACTTTGAACAAATAATTAAAAACTGGAAAATTTAAGACAAGTATAACTGCTATACAATGAATTTTTCGAGGACATCAAATGACAGTTAAAAAGTCTGGAATCTTGCATTCTTAATGTTCATACACCGAAATTACGAATTTGTTATAAAAATGTATGTTCCTTGCAATCCAAATTTTATATAGCAAATATACGTATATAAAAATATCATAAAAAATTAAATAAAACAGTTATTACAAATATAATAATGATTGATTATTGTTCCTAATTTATTATTTACAGTAAATTACTTTCAATGTACAAACTATCCTTTTGGTTTAAAAATATTTAAACACATACACACATATAGAAGCATACATAATATATACATAGGTATTTATCTTTGTTACAATATAATTACAAAAATTTACTATAATTTTAAATGTAATTTGTAACTTTTCTTCCTAACACTTGAGATTATCTAAATTTTATACATGTAATGAGCTTTATCAATCATTTATTAAATAGACATGTATTTAATATGGAATATTTAAGTATTAAGAGTTGCCAAATAAAAATTAATCAATAATAATAATAATAATATTTTCTGAATAAATGAAAATTTGACAATCAAATAATTATTTCCGGTAAGATTCAAATCCGGTATCCGGATCAGATCCAGTAAAATTCAAACTGAAAGTCATGAAACTTGTTATCTTTTTTTATTGTTCACTAAATTTGATTTTGTTTTAATAAAATATGTTTAAATAAATTCCTGCAGCAAAAAATAATAAAAGTAAAATAAATGTTCGAAATATTCATATTCTAATTTCAATTAGATTTATTCAGCAATACTCATTATACTCTCATTAGTAATTGCATTCAGTCCAAAGATTCTTTCTATTCTTTAATAAATTTTACATTTCATCACAATCGCGTTATCGTGCCTGTATAAAAAATAATTTCAAAGCTCTTAATAATTTAGATTTTTATTTCTTGACATATGCATTTTCCATCTGGCAACTCTCTTCGTACAATTTTTATTAAAGTGACAATAATCGATTTAGAAAATTTTTTTTAGGAAACACTCGAAATCAACTCACCTCTTTTCATTTATTCTTTATAATAAAATTACATAGTTCAGTTATGATTTTCACTCTTGATTTTAAGTAATCTCATCAAATTTTTGTATAAACTATACTAGAATATACATAAATATAAACGTATCGAGCAAAATTTATAAATATTAGAAAAAATTTTTAAATATTTTTTTTTAAATTTTATGGCTGTTTGTCATTATAAAAAATGAATATTATTTAATTTTTACTGTCGAAATGGCTAATATCAAAAAAATTTTAATTTAAAATTTAATTATAATGAATACAAAAATCATTTATTAATTTCACAAACTTATTATATTTGTAATTTTAGAAAAATAGTCTCCGGTACGCAAAAGAAGCAGGAGTGGAAAGTATACCGCAAACGATTCAGAGGTGAAATAAACATTGCAGCAATAATCATAAATGAAAATCTCACACAGGTTATAAAAAGAAAAACCTAGCAAACCACATACTTTGTTTCCTTCTATAATAAATATGTAGGAAGAGCAAAACTGCGAGATGTTGAGGCACCACCACTAATTCAAACATGATGCTAAAAAGTATAGCATGATAAAGAAATCCAACACGTTTCAAAAGAAGACGTACTTAAAAGTCTAGACATTCAAGAAAACGCTGAAACAACATCAAAAGCAACAGACAAATTTAGAACAAAAGCTAAATTTCGAATAACTT